ATGTTCTTATCCTTGATTCTGCCTGGATATATGGGGACCTTTATCCATCAAGGGCTGGGAGCTCCTCAGAGAGTATAATAGCATTGACCACACCAGAGAGATTACACTGGGTCCAGAATCTAGGCTGACTTGGATCATCACATTGTAAGTTTGGCAATGAATTATAAAGAAAGCTTTCACCAAAACTGAACTCCCAAGCATGCATAAATCAACTCACCATGGGCTACATGGTTTCAGGATTCCAAACTGGAGAACCACTACTACAGTACTCAAGTAAGGCATAAAATATGCTCAAGGTCCACATGGTCACTGTGGAGCCATGGAGCTCAATCAAAAGAGCTCTGTATTTTGAGTTTAGAGGTCTATAGAGTTTACAGAAGATCAAATGTGAGTCCTGGCTTAGTAGGACCTCTTCAGCTTGACCAGAGCTTTGGAGCTGACTGCTGCATTGCCAAAGAACATATGTTTTATGTAAGACCTTGGGTCAATATGCCTGGCCAAGCTCTTAGGAATAAGTTGTAGCTTTGGGTGGTTTTAGTAACAGTTAATACCTGTTTGTCATAGAACACCTAGAGAATATCTTAAAATGATAATATACATACACATAACATATCTCACCCATGAAGCCTTCCCCCACAGTTAAGTACTATTAAGTGGTGTCAATCCTTGTAGGTATTTGAAGATTTATGTATATATGTTTCCCTGTTCATTTGATGTACAATAATATAATAAACTCTCTTGCACCTACTACTGAGAATAAATATCTTTGAGGCCTCCCAAATGCATTTTCCTTCTGTTTCCTTCCAGAGGTAACAATAAACTTGCATTTTATATCAATTCTTTGCTTTTCTTTATAGTTTTGTCATTAGTATATGTATTTTATAACCTTAAAATAAATTAATTCCATCCCATTCTTTTGTGACTTCCTTTTTTGCCCAACCTTAAATTTTTACTATTCAATTTCATTTACATGTGTAAATACAATCAATTATACTTTTCTCTTGTGCATCATTCCATCTTATAAAGATGCTACAGCTCATTTTTCTATTTTATATTAATACATATTAGGACTGTGTCTTGATTTCTGTTATTAGAAACAATATTGCAATGAAAATTCTACATGTTTATTTTGGTCCACATGCAGAGCTTCTCTGGGGAATAGTCTTACGGGGAAGAAACTGCTGCTTTGTAGGGTTTGTCGTAATCAATGTCCTGAGCTACATCAGGTGATTTTCCAAAATAGTTGTATTCCAGGTGTATGAGAGATCCCATTGCCTTACATCCTGGAAAATGCTCGGTATTGTCACACTTTCTCATTTTATTCAAGTTGGTGGGTATGCAAAAGAATATCACTGTGATTTTAATTTGCATTCCTTGATTATTAAAACTAAGTAAATTTTCATATGCTTATTGACCAAGTATTGTAGCTATCCTGTGAAATACTTATTTACATTGGTGCCTATTTTTTTAATAATTCATGTCATCTTTATATATTCACTTCTATCTCTATGTATCAAACTATCTAAAACTTTCAAATCTGACTTCTTTTAACAAGAATAATAATCTACATTCTGTAAAGCCTTATAAAGCCTTATAAAAATTGTCCTAGTTATGAAAGTTTTAAGTAACAAATGTTTTTATTCTCTTTACTCCAGTTTTCTCAAGGGCCAAAATAGACCCTTTGTCAAATAAATAACAATTTGGTTAGTATCAAATGGAAAATCAAGGGGGGAAATTATGAGCTATATTCACATTACTACTTAGAGATTATGATAAGTAAATTTTATTTCTGAAGCATGTTTTTACAGTATTAAATTTGGGGGGAAGTAGTTGAAAACAACCACTCCTCTATAGTCACTTCTATTATGTCTCTCAGAATCATTACCCACTAGGTCTTATTTGCCCTTACTTTGGCTTAAGGGATCTAAGAAAAAAATAAACAGCAGAATATAATATGAATAATCTTGAAATCAACCCAGTAATCTTCCAACTAAACATTTGCAAACCTCAAAGCAGTGGGGGCTTTTCCTGGATGATAGATACTCTCTCAGTGGAGCATACACACGCAAGACACTGGATGTACCAGATACTGGGGAGAAAGTTTGCTGTGTTCCAGGACCTGCTTCCCAGAAGTGACAGTTAAATTACAAATATAAGTATGGCAAAGAATAAAATGTTTGAATAACAGTGCATGGACGCAGTGGAAAGCTGTCAGGGTCCTAATTGCTGAACTAAAATTGAAGATGATAAAGGATCAAAGAAAGAAACACATGCTCCTGGCCTCACCTCAAGTCAAGACTGTTGGCTCTTCATCTTCCTCTTTCTTCCCACCCCTGTTCACCCCCAGATCAATAGGTCAGGTGCAAGATGGTCTGTGTCAAGTCCCCCCATCACTGCACCAAGATCTGTCATACAGAAGGATCCTTTCAGCTCTCTAAGATGGAAGTACAGTGCAGAGTTCCTTCCCCAGTGGCAGAGACTTTCACTTTCACCCAGCCTGGAGTCCAGCATTCTGGCTTTAGGGAAAATGGAAGCATAGGCTCACCAAGAAAAAGCAGGGCCACATTCTGGGCCACATAGTGAGTCAGTGTCTGGCTATTTCCCCGGCAAGTGCCCATCTTGGTATTCTTTTTAGCTATTAGTATATATTGAAGTCATATATTAATAAGACCCTCCTGAAATTTGAGCTAGAGAGTGAATCTAAGGTGATATGTGGGTTCTAATGCCAAACGACGCTATAATTTCATCTGCTTGGCGATCATCTATCTATTCAAGGTGTTCTCCACTGGGGAAGATATTAACCTCACCCCACATCCAAAGGACAGTTGGCAATGTCAGGAGACATTTTTGGTTGTTCTAATGGGTAATGCTGGGGAGATGCTACCATAATCCAGTAGAGTAGAGGCCAAGAATGCTGCTAAACATTCTACAGTGCACAGTAAGCCCCCTACACCAAAGAATTACCCAGCCTTTAGTGTGAAGGTTGAGAAACCTTGCCACACTCTTCACTACCCAGGCTGGGAAAAGCATAGATCATTCCCTGATGTGACTGCCAGCTCCACTGGTCCTCCTAGAGGAGATGGTTTCTTTGACACACTGTTAAACCAGTCCCTGTGGTTGCACTGAACACATAATTCTAGGGACCTAAGGTCCTGTGTCTATGTCGGGAACTCTCTTCCCACAGAGGACTCAGCTCAGGGTCTAGATTCTCATTCACATGACAATCATGAAACACAACTGACCTCAGGGCAACAAACTGATAGCTGGAATGGATAATGACCAGTTTCTATAAATTCCATTATATCATCATCATTTTTTCATTAAGCTGCACTCATATCATCTTCTCATAGTCAAACTTTATTCACTCCACACATAACAACTGTGTTCCTAGCCAGCCAAGGCACCAGGTCCCACACTAGTTGGATGATAATCCTCTGAGGCTGGAGCACTGAGACAACACCTGCAGCAGCTTTTCACTGGGTGGGAGCCTGTGACAGCACAGACCTCCCTTCAGGCACTCTAATTTCACAAGTCAGGGAGGCACCAACAGTTTATATTGTTGGCTAGCACTGGAGGTGACTCTGAGACAGACATCCATGGGACCACACTTCAAGAAACACTAGCAGAAATCATGAAGTCTATTCATTCTAACCCCAAGCTTAATAATCTAAGGTAGTAATTTTTTATATCCATGAAAAAATCATCTATTAATTTTCTCAAGTTTCCCGTTTTAAAACTGAAGAAGAGTAAGGCCTTGATACCTGCTCAAGCACAAATGGTGAGAGAGCATAATGACCTTATGTAAAGAGGAGCAGAACATTTGCAAAGGAACACAGTGATAGAAGTTTACCTTAAAAATGAATTTGTATGACACGGAATGAGCATTAGCCAAGTATATTTGCTTCAATGATGAGAAGAAAAAGTGCTTGCTTGTAAGAATATTACCTGTGGTCTGAACTGACCTCAGCATACAATGGCTCCAGCTTGATTAGAGAATGCCAGACCTCACAGGACACCAAGATAAGTGGCTTCTCTGATTACTTTCAGTTTTCTTTAAAATCTTTTCTCAGTCCTACATCAACACTCCCCATTTGTGACTTTTCAATGGACCCCTTACTTTAGTAGTACATCAACCACAATTTGAGATCCAAACCTAAAACTCACTCCAAGCAAAACTGTTACAAACTCTTACAAACAACTTAACACTTATCTATGGCTAATATCAAATTAATATAAATATATTTTTGCCCAATTGCTCTACCTTAAATTACTGTGATCAGTATAACAGGAGAAATCTACATCAAGAATATCATGGTAACACTTAAATAATAAATTAAAATTAATGAATTACCATCATCATTAGAGGGAAAAGGTATGAATTAAAGGCCAGAATATCTCAGAATTATCCTATAAGGTGACTATCTGAAAATAGATTTCTTTTTCAACTCTTATGAGTTCCCTCCCATTCTGTTCCTTTAAAATTGTCTTTACAACTGCACTGTCTCTCATTTCTGTCTTGTCTAGTTTATATACTTTTTGCTTCAAGTCCTACCTTGGTCCCATTGGTTCAGAAAACTGGACACCATTGAGTTTACTCACAGATTGAGCACTTCAAAACACTCAGATCTTTGTGCTCCTATTGAAACCCATTCAAACTACAGATGAGTTTCTAAACCAGAGGGAAATGACTAGAGTCTACAAGACAGAGAAAAACTCAGTTTTCTGTGCAATAAGCATTGAACACCATCCAAAGTATCACATATCTGGTATGCCAAGGAGCTCCATTCCACTGCAATCTCTTGATGAAAAAGATCCCCTCCCACCATTTTAGAAACTTGAATCGATGTATCAGTTTGAATGCAAATTTTCTCCCAAACTAAGATTTGCCGTAAGATCCATTTTTAAGCATCTATGCTCCCCACAGACCAACATGCAAATGGTGGGTGCTGAAGTTTAAGTAAGAACTGCAGAAGCCATGAAAAGACAGACCCGAACTGTACCTATCTTTGTAGCCTCCGCTTTTAGGTTGAAATCCCAGTTCCTGGGCAGCTTTAGAGACATTTTGCTTCTGACTTGGGTGAGTAGCTGGAGAAGTGGCCCGTCTGTCACAGTCTGTTCCTTTCTTTCGATTTTGATCTTCCCCTTTGGTTTTTGCCTGTTTTTCCTGTCTTATGCTTGCTTCACACACAGTCTTAGGTTTGAGGTGTCTCCTCCTTTCAGAAGAAAAGTCCACCCGTTTGTCACTTGGGGATGGCACCCAAACTCTCCTTGCCCCACACCCACAGTCCTCCAGGGGATGGCACCCCACTTCTCTTACTTTCAGTTTTAACAGAAATATCCCAGGTGACACTGCGTCATGGGAAGCAGAACTCCTGTTCAAAAGAATCTCAGGCCTCACCGAGGCAAAGTTGTGATAAACAACTGCTGCCTCTCGACTTTTTTTTTTTAACTGTCTGCTTCCTTGTATTTGAGGAAGTGGGTGGCTGTTTGGTGCAGATGATGCATTATGAGCACACTTTCTTGAGAAAATTAGTTTTTTAAATACTTGTAAAACTAGAATGAGTGCATTTGTGATATAAGCCTGTGGGCAATTAAAAGAAAATTTCAAAATTCTCACTACATACTTTCTCCTCTTCCCCATCCAAAGGATAAAGTGTCTAACATTAGCCTGCTTTAAGCTTCTTCCTTATAAGGACCATGCAGACAACTCTCCACCTGCTCTGGATAAAGGTTCCAAGAGATCCCAACCTGATGTAGGAAAGGTTTTGATACATGTAGCTATTAAGTTAATTTCAGCCATTTGAGACTCACTCAAATGACATCAGGGTTCTTTGGCATTGGGTCACGGGCTTTAGAATCAGACTAACATGAATTCCAAATTCAGTTTGTCCACTTCCTAGCTGTACAACTTTGAGCAAGGCAACTGAATTTTTCTGGACTTCAATGTCTTCATCAGAAAAGTGGGGTCAATAATAACCAAGGCTGTAGAGAGTCACTGGAAACATGTTTAGTATAAAGCTTGACACATAGTAGTTGTACCTAAACATTAATTCAACCTTCATTCTATTCAGTTCACCTTTGTGACAGGCTTTTACATGTTTCACTCTGTCAACTTAAACACTTTCTTGCTTTATGACCTTGGAAAAATTTCTTGTATCTCAATTTCCTCTTCTGTAAAAGGAGTAAACAATAGAGCCTACTTTATAGGGCTGTTGTGGGGCTTTAGACAGTAGGTACAAAGTGCTAAGGGCAATCACTGCTTACCTACACATAAGCAATACATCTTTGGCCTATTCATTCTTCAATTCCCCTGGACAATTCATTCTGTTATGCTTTCTTCTTCACCTCCCACTTGCTCACACTCTGTTGATGACTTGGCTTCCTGTTTCATTAAGAAAACTGATGTAACTGGAGAAAATGTCCTCAGCTCCTCCACTGTATCTGTCCACCTACCAGCAAGCAAACCCATGTGCTGTTACAATGCATGAACAAGCTCTCATCACTCTCCCATCTCTACTACATCACCACTTTCTTCTCTCTGCTGTACCTTCCCAGCAATATTCAACTTGTTTTTCATCACGTCTATTTCAAAATCTCTTGATGCTACTTCTCTCTTTGGTACCACTTCTCTCCTTCATTTGTAAGCAAAACTTTGGTAAGAATTATCTACACTTGTAAATGTCTTTCCTTTTATTCTCTTCCAAATACCTTCTGTGAAAGTTTTTGTTCCTAAACTCTACAGAATATCTTCTTATCAAGGGCACCAAGGATTTTTCTGTCACTAAACCCACAGGTCCGTTCTCTATTCTCACATTATTGTCTTATCTATGTTGAACACATGGGACTACTTTCTCTAGCTCTGAGCCCTCTCTCTATCTGGTTTCCAGGGACTATGATTAGCCAGTTGTCTGCCTGTCATTTTGGCTGCTCTGTTTCTAATTCCTGCTAATTCCTGCTCATTGCTCTGTGTTGTAAATATTGGAAGAAACTAAGACTCAATCAGCAGAGCTCTTTCCCATCCCTGCCTACACCTTAGTGAACTCCCCTGTCTCAAGATTTTAACTTTCATGTGTCTACAGTGTCCAGCTCAGACCACCCTCTGAATCCCAAATCACATGCATCCCCACATAGATCTTCAATAGCCATTTCAAACTAAACCTGTCTAAGGCTCATATTTAGGTACTAGGCTAAAGGAGAGGTGGGGACTTGTAGCATATTCTTTTTAGAAATGAAAGGCACATAAGCAGAGCCTCTGCTCTCATCTTATCTGCTTAAATCCATTGGCCAGCACAGGTCACATGGCCAAGCTCAAAACCCAGAGTCAGTAAGGGCCCACAGCATTAAGGGGCCAGGGGAAGAAGGAAGGGCAGGAAAGTTTACTGATCAAGGATTCAACTCATCACTCCAACTCAGTTTACCCAGCTACCCTTTGGCTCCCAAGCAGTGCTGGATTCCTCTGAACTTGACTCAACTCCTTGGGGACTTTGGAGCCTCCACTCTTGCACTACTGTCTTCCTGACCCAACACTACTGTTCTTTGTCCTGTCCTGAAGGAAGTAGCTGTCCTGAACCCCAGACCAGTGACATCTCCATAGGGAACTTGACACCACTCACAGTTTCAGTCCTGGGATCTTTAACCTAAGAACTCTGAAAATACTCTGAAGATGGCATTTAACAACATACAGGGAACTTCCCTTACTCTTTAGGATGGGTTCCTGTGAGTCTTGGAAAAACTTGTGACCCATTGGGGAAGTTGGTTACCCACACAGACATGCAAAGAGAAAAGCAGTCCTAGAAAGGCCTGGCATAGCAGCCCTCTTTTCACAGAGCCTTCTCTGAGTGTCAGCTCCCCAGATAAGGGTAAAATTCTTGTCTGTTCTACTGCTGCTCCCCCTCCCTGACCTTCACAAATCCAAGAATGAAGCATCTTAGCATTTGTAATAACAAAAATAAAAATTAATTCATCTATTTGCTCATTAATGGTAACTATTTTCACAGACTAAATATTTGCTGGACATTGGGGGAAAGTTCGTGAACAAAGAAACTTGCTTTCTGCCTCTTTTCTTCACTCCCCTACTCTTTCCTCCACCCTCCCATGTGTAGCTAATAGGCTGTTGAGGAAGAGCAATTAAATGAACAATTAAATACAGCATGAGAAGGACCAGACTGGGGGGACCATCTATATGGGAGGGGCTTAATTGGGACATGGAGAAGGATAAGAGCTTCCTGGAGGAAATATTTTTTTAAATTAAGGTTTGATGGATGAATTAAGAAGATAAGAGGGTTGGAAAACAGTTCCAGACAAAGCAAGCTGTATACAAAAGTCATAGAGGTCAGAAAGAATTCCCGAGAAGGATAAATAGGTGAGTGGAAAGGAGAGGAAACTGGATAGACAGGTTGGGGTGGATGGGCCACATCATATAGATCCCAGTAGCCTTTGTGAAAAGTCTTGAATTCCCCAGGGGAAAACTCCCTGGGGAGTTTTTAGCACAGCCAGAGAAGTAGGCTATAGAAGATGTCCAATGGGAGGGGAGTGAGGAAGTAAGATCAACATAGTGTTCTGGAAAGAAGGACACACAAAAGCTACCTGAGTATAGAATGAGCCCCAAGGGGATTATAAAGAGATAAAAAAGAGACACCATACTCCTGACTGACACCTCAGGGGTGGAGATTCCGGTCACAGAGATGGGAGGATTGAAAATGAGGGCCTGGGCATTGAGGTGCCCCTTCAAGAAGAGAGTGGGCTCAATTTGGGGGATGCTGCACTTGGGCACTTAGGGGGCCATGAGGACAGGTTTTCTTCAAGTATGTGAGCACAAAGCTCATTCACCCTTCACTCCCTTCCTCCATAGACAGTATCAGGACTGAGCTGGATACTGAGTGAACTGGATGATTAGGAGCTTGGCCTCCTCCTCAAGTGACTCACAAGAGTCACTTGTGTGAACAAAACTGTGTACATGGGGCCAGGGATTTAGCTCAGTGGTTCGGCCGCCTGCTTCGCAAGCGCAAGGACCAGAGTTCGATCCCTGGCACCAAAAACACCCCCCCAAAAACTGTGTACATGCACAGGGCAGGGTGGAAAAGGAAAGTGGTTAACTCTGCTTGGGTGGCCAGGGGTGGCTTCTCAGGAAATGTGACCCAAGGTGGGAGATTGAAAAGAGGACAATACAGGTAAATAAAGTGGAAGTTATTATTCAAACACGGCACCCTTTCAGAGAAATAGCAGGAAAGGTGAATGGCTAAAGGGGAAGGTGACCAGGAAGTGTAGGAGCCACAGGGGCCTGAGTCACCTACTGAGGGACCGAACTCTACTCTGAGGTGACAACTTTATTTTTATATATTTGTAATAGATAATAATTGCATTCATCTTGGGGAATTGGTACATCTACATATTTTACCTCAGTCATTTTTACCACTCCTTTGCCTCCCACTCTTCTTCGTTCTTTCCCCAGATCTCTTTCTTGTCTCCACAAAGTTTACCTCTTTGTTTCCTACCATATCTATTTTATTTTACTCTTTAAATCATTTATATTTTGTGGTTCTCATATAAGAGAAACTATGTGATATTTAACCTTCTGTGTTTGGTTTATTTTACTAAGCATTATGGTCTCAAGATCCATTCATTTTCCACTTTTCAAACCTTACTTTCATTGCTATTTTTACCATCATAGACTTCTGTGTTGAAGTTATAAAGAACTATAAAGAAAATTAAATCTGTTGTTGTCATTCATTGTGTACAATGGTTCCCTATCATCCACGGAGATATGTTCCAGGATCGCCAGTGTGCACCTAAAACTGTGGATAGTATCAAATCATGTGTGAATTATGTTTCTTCCTATACATACATACCCGTTACAAAGTTTAATTTATAAATTAGGCATGGTAAGCTACTAACCACAATAAAAAGATAGGACCATTATAACAATACACTGTCGAAAAACTGCCAGCATTGCCACTCTTGTGCTTTGGTCCCCTTATTAAGTAAAACAAGGGTTACTTGAACACATAGATGTAAATACCCCGACAGTCCACCTGACAACCAGGACAGCAGAGGCAAACCCTCTCAGACAGGTCAAGGGCACTAAGTTGGTCAGAACCCTTGCGCTCAGGGGACAGTGGCAAGTGTCATCATAGTCACACTTGTATCATTGTTTTCTTTAGAGCAGATGTAAGAAGAGATTGGTATGTTGTATACACATCTCATTTAAAAGGACAGGGGGAGGGAGTCAAGCACGTTGGGGTGAAACAGAGTTCCTTATGGATTTGAGCTTGCCATTTTGCTGGCCTATATTTCCCACCTGGCTCTGGCAGGTGTTTGAATGTGGGCCCCATGTTCTGGGGACACCCAGCCAGCAGCCACACCTGGCATTTGGAAT